GCCGTCGCAATCTTCGGTACGAATGACATTAAGTACCATGTGAATAAACGCAGAGCCATGCAGTGGGCCACGTCGCGGGGAAAAACCGTGCACGTGGCAGTGGCCCGGGATAAGGCCTCCGCTGCAGTTCTCCAAGAGAAACCTGCCTTGGCTGCAGCGGCACGACAAGGAATGTGGGGGGTTGTATGGCTTGTTGCCGCTTTGCGTCGGCATGCCGGTTCGCGCCACAGAACACTTAGACAGAAGGCGAGGCATCCTAAAAGGATGCCGCGGGACGATCGTGGGTTGGTCGTCCTGTGCGGATGAAACACACGACGGTGTAGTACTCTGGAACGCGTTACCGCAGGCCGTGTATGTGAAGTTCGACACCGCCGAATGCTGGCAGATTGATGGCGTTCCGGAGGAGAATGTGTATCCTGTCGCGACCTGCAAGCGGGTGTGGTACTTGGATCGCCAACGGAAAAACCCACAACTTCGGGTTTCGCGCACGCAGTTTCCATTGGCGCCGGCCTTCGCCATCACCGCCCATGTGGCTCAGGGCCAAACAATCACAGAAGGGGTCCTTACAGACCTGTGTGTTGGTCTTGGAGGTAACCCCTTCACTGCATATGTCGCATTCACGCGGGTACAGGGACGCACGCGATTGTTCATCTATCGGGCCTTCGACGCAGCGCCGTTCCAGAAGGGAATTGGCTTGGGCCGGGATCTGCTACTGCGGCAGCTGCGCGGGGAACGCATAGAGTGGAAAGCGCTCTTGGCGAAATATTGTGAAGAACGGACGTGTGGTGCCTGCGCGGAGCGCAAGCCGGCCACTGCATTCACCGCAGGACAGTGGAAACGCAGTGATGCTGACCGCGTGTGTCGTGAGTGCACGAAGAGGTACGCGGATGCCGGGACGCCGTGGCAATGCAACGTCTGCAAACGGTGGCATGCAGAGACGAACTTTCCGGAGAAGCAGCGGCAACGACAATGCAGCTTTTACCGCGTGTGTTTGACATGCGAAACGAAAAAGCCTTGCACCCGATGCGGTGTCGCGAAGTCGGAGGCTGACTTCGGGGCGGCAGCGTGGAAGGCGCGAAATACAGAGAGACGGTGGTGTCGAACATGCGCAACGAAGATGCGCGATCACTGGGCGTGCAGCCACTGCGAGGAACGCAAGCCTCGTGCAGAATTCTCTGCGTGGCAGGCCACGCGCGTGCACGCACAGAATGGCACGCAGCAATGCAACACGTGCGTGTCATTGGCGTTGGTTTGTCGCGTCGCTCGCAGAGCGAATCAACGGGTGCTGCGTTTGCGGCACCGCCTCCAGAGGGAGCGCGAGCAATCCATTGTTGAGGACGTCTGACGCGAAATAGCAGCAATAACCGAACGGAGGGCAAAGACGAGCGCGCAGGCAACACCTGGCGCGATGGGGTTACCGGAGAAGGCCGCAAACGCAGGTCGCGAAGGGCTCGCGCGAGTGGGAAGTGGCGCGGGCGGCCCGCACAAGTTGTCTCCCGCGTGCGGACCCCAAGAGAACACGGACGACACATTCCACTACACGTGCCCGTTTTGTGAGGCTGCCGTCAGCAGCATTGTGCGTTCTGGCCAAGTAGATCACCGCAGGCATTGCGGTAATCGATTTCAGGTCAAAGATGGATGCGTCGTGACAAAGAAGATGGTGTACCAGTGCCCGTTTTGCGATGGCGAAGTGAGCAGCAACGTGATGACCGGGCAAGTCAACCATGGCAGCGTGTGCCGCAACCGATTTCAGGTCAAAGATGGATGCGTCGTGACAAAGAAGATGGTGTACCAGTGCCCGTTTTGCGATGGCAAAGTGAGCAGCAACGTGATGACCGGGCAAATCAACCATGGCAGCGTGTGCGGCAGCTGGTTCTATGTTAAGAATGGCAAAGTCACCGATGCAACGCGAAAACATATGCACACATGCCCGCGGTGCCAAGCCGCCGTGTGGTCAGCCAGCGCGTCGGGGCGAATCCGCGTGCAGCACAACACACCAGCGGGACGCCCGTGCACACAGAAGAGCTGGAAGAGCGAGAAAAAGAAAGAAGCATAGGCTAGGACATGCTGCTGGGCCGCCAGGAGATGACGATGGAATCTATGAAACAGTGGTTTGCTCCGTGGGAACTAGCTGCATGGACAGTGCGGCCTTGTTTGTGTAGGTCAGCCAGTGCTGCTGTGTTAGTTCTATGGTCTCGCGGTGCGTTCTCTTCCGCCAGTATTCTTTCGAACCTCCCCGCAAAGACATCGCACATGGCTGCTGTCATGTTTTAAGGCCAGCCTAGTGCCTAACGTTGCTTTCTGAAACCAGAAGAAAATCTCCAGGAAAGCGCCCGGCAGGTGGCCAAAGGACATGCTGCTGGGCCGCCAAGGGCGCCGGGAGACGTTTAGGGGCAGCCTAGGGCGTCGGGACACGTTTAAGACGTTTAAGGGCAGCCTAGTGCCTAACGTTGCTTTCTGAAACCAGAAGAAAATCACCAGGAAAGCGCCCGGCAGGTGGCCAAAGGACATGCTGCTGGGCCGCCAAGGGCGCCGGGAAAAAGGTTTAAGGGCAGCCTAGGGCGTGCGGGAACCCGTTTAAGACGTTTTAAGGCCAGCCTACTGCCTAACGTTGCTTTCTGAAACCAGAAGAAAATTTCCCAGGGAAGCGCCCGGCAGGTGGCCAAAGGACATGCTGCTGGGCCGCCAAGGGCGCCGGGAAAAAGGTTTAAGGGCAGCCTAGGGCGTCGGGACACGTTTAAGACGGTTAAGGGCAGCCTAGTGCCTAACGTTGCTTTCTGAAACCAGAAGAAAATCTCCAGGAAAGCGCCCGGCAGGTGGCCAAAGGACATGCTGCTGGGCCGCCAAGGCGCCGGGAAAAAGGTTTAAGGGCAGCCTAGGGCGTCGGGACACGTTTAAGACGTTTAAGGGCAGCCTAGTGCCTAACGTTGCTTTCTGAAACCAGAAGAAAATCTCCAGGAAAGCACCCGGCAGGTGCCCAAAGGACATGCTGCTGGGCCGCCAAGGCGCCGGGAAAAAAGTTTAAGGGCAGCCTAGGGCGTCGGGACACGTTTAAGACGTTTAAGGGCAGCCTAGTGCCTAACGTTGCTTTCTGAAACCAGAAGAAAATCTCCGGCAGGTGCCCAAAGGACATGCTGCTGGGCCGCCAAGGCGCCGGGAAAAAGGTTTAAGGGCAGCCTAGGGCGTCGGGACACGTTTAAGACGTTTAAGGGCAGCCTAGTGCCTAACGTTGCTTTCTGAAACCAGAAGAAAATCTCCAAGAAAGCGCCCGGCAGGTGGCCAAAGGACAGGCTGCTGGGCCGCCAAGGGCGCCGGGAAAAAAGTTTAAGGGCAGCCTAGGGCGCCGGGACACGTTTAAGACGTTTAAGACGTTTAAGACGTTTAAGGGCAGCCTAGTGCCTAACGTTGCTTTCTGAAACCAGAAGAAAATCTCCAGGAAAGCGCCCGGCAGGTGGCCAACGGACATGCTGCTGGGCCGCCAAGGGCGCCGGGAAAAAGGTTTAAGGGCAGCCTAGGGCGCCGGGACACGTTTAAGGCCAGCCTAGTGCCTAACGTTGCTTTCTGAAACCAGAAGAAAGTCTCCCAGGAACCAGGAAAGCGCCCGGAAGGGCGACCTTACGCGTTTAATGCCCGCGCAGACGGCATTTCCCCCACTTTGGGCGAGACCGCTCATGCGGCCCTCGGGGGTGGGTTTGCAAAGATCTTGAGCCAAAGACTACCACCATACGAACAATACACTGGCCGGTGGCCTTCAAACAATCGACACAATCAGAATCCTGGAAAAGCTTTTTCTCGGGCGCGCTCCCCCTGCAGCTTGCTGGGGTCGGCGGATATATCATTATATATCATTATATACCATTATATATCATTATATATCATTATATACCATTATATATCATTATATATCATTATATACCATTATATATCATTATATATCATTATATACCATTATATATCATTATATATCATTATATACCATTATATATCATTATATATCATTAAATACCATTATATATCATTATATATCATTATATACCATTATATATCATTATATATCATTATATACCATTATATATCATTATATATCATTATATACCATTATATATCATTATATATCATTATATACCATTATATATCATTATATATCATTATATACCATTATATACCATTATATATCATTATATATCATTATATACCATTATATATCATTATATACCATTATATACCATTATATATCATTATATATCATTATATATCATTATATATCATTATATATCATTATATATATCATTATATATCATTATATATCATTATATATATCATGTATATATCATTATATATCATTATATATCATGTATATATCATTATATATCATTATATATCATGTATATATCATTATATATCATTATATATCATTATATATCATGTATATATCATTATATATCATTATATATCATTATATATCATGTATATATCATTATATATCATTATATATCATTATATATCATGTATATATCATTATATATCATTATATATCATTATATATCATGTATATATCATTATATATCATTATATATCATTATATATCATGTATATATCATTATATATCATTATATATCATTATATATCATGTATATATCATTATATATCATTATATATCATTATATATCATGTATATATCATTATATTTCATTATATATCATTATATATCATGTATATATCATTATATATCATTATATATCATGTATATATCATTATATATCATGTATATATATCATTATATATCATTATATATCATTATATATCATTATATACATCACTATTTATATCTACATATTTATATAACAAATATGATAAATGTGTATAACAGATATATATATATATGATATATGAGGGTATAAAATGATAAATGTTATGATATATATGATGTATATGTATCATTATATTTCATTCTACATCTACAAAGCACGGTTCTTGGAGTTCTTGGCAACTTCGCCAAGGCTATCGGCGGATGCCAGGGATCGCTCGCTTTGGCCACCCGGCTGGTGATTTTTTTTAAGGATCCTGCCGTGGTCATCAAGGAAAACCATAGGAAAACCATGGGAAAATGGAGGTTTTAATGGGAAAACCATAGGAAAACCATGGGAAAATGGAGGTTTTCATGGGAAAACCAAAGGAACACCATAGGAAAATGGAGGTTTACCCTCTTGTAATAGTGATGAATAGTGATTAATAGTGGTTGATAATTATAATTAATGGTGATTAATGGTGACTAATGGTGATTAATGGTGATTTACCCTCTGGTAAACATGTACGTAACGAACTGGAAAGATCCACCATGTTATAGCTGGGTAAATCAACTATTTCTATGGTCATTTTCAATAGCTACGTTAAATTACCAGAGGGTATGATCATCTCTTATCCATATAGAGGCCCTGGTGGGGGTGGTGAGCACACACACACATACATAATATATATATATACACATGCATACACGTATTATATATATATATATACATATCCACGATTTTTTGGAGGATGTATTTTTGTCATCATTACAACATATTTGCATAGATTATGTATTCATATATATATAGATAAACACATAATTATACATATGGACAATTCCTTTTTTAGGCGAGTGGAGTAGGTTTGCTGCCATTTTCCACTGTGGGTTCTACATTTCTCGCAGGGACAGTGGCACACCGCAATTTCTTGTAGTTTATGTCTTACATTGATGATAGCTCGAATTGTTTGGACTAATTATACATATGTATATATATAATCATTGGTATAGACCCACAAATTCTGGACATTCCCAGGGTTTTTCATCCCAGCTGTTCTCACAAGGTGAACACGGCTGCAGGGCCGAGCCTACGAACGATGCTGCCAGGGCACTACGGAGCCATCAATGCGTTGACCTTCCATCGAGCCGGGCAGCTCAAAAACATTCAAAACTGGGCCGCAGGGGTGAACTTTTCAGAAATCAATGTGGGTAAAACAATGTCATTTTTACCACCCATTGGGAATGGTAACCATACCACCTATTTATGGTGATTTGGGGGATGGTTTATTTCTGTTTTACAGTTTTACCAATATTATTAGTATTAAGGTGACACTACTATTTGGGTGGATTAACCACTATTCACCACTATGGTTCACTATCTGAGAAAATCCCAAATCGGCTGTCCCCAATTTCGCCACATCATTTTTTTGTGGCATGTGAATCAAGTAAACATACGGAGGATGGTTGCAAAATCCTGCACCACCTTGAATGGTAAAACCCTGTAAATAATGGGATGTTTACCACCTATCAACTGGTGATTCGGATTTCGCTGGCCCATCCACAGTATGGAAGGCATCAACAAAGACGTTGATCCTTCAGGATAAGATCCTGGTGTCTGTGGGTGCAGACTGTCGCATTCTGAGACGCCGAAAGTCTCCGCCGAATCATTTTTTGGAATCAGCTCAGACGGCTAGGCGGCTAGGAAGCCGGTAGGGCAAAGAGGGGGCCTGAACGATGATGAAATACATATACCCTCTGGTAATGACTAACAAAAACCGATGGAAAAGATCCACCCACCATTGAGTTCGTAAAATTTCCCATGAAAAATGGTGGTGATTTTCCAGTTCGTTATGTTAGTCATTACCAGAGGGTATACTTCATGTATAATTCACATTGACATATACTGATCTATATAATGGAGGGTGCAGAGATTAATGGCACTTTCCCATCATTGCATCCTCGGGTCCCCCGTTCTGGTTTTCAGTGTTCAATTCTGCTGGATGTCTCAAGTTGCAGCCTCAGGTTTTGTCCACCAGTACTGCATGCAAACAGACACCGTTTTCCTTGCATGCTTTTAACCGTGCATCTTTCACTGGGCCATGCCCAAGCCATCACTGCCAGTTACTGGCGCGACATTTGTCTTCACCCCCACCAGAGCCGGTGGTCGTTTGAGCCCTGAACTTCTTGTCAATGAGTATGCAGACCTAGTCCCATCCCCCTAATGTTCTATATATGTGTAAATGCCCTACTAGACCATGGTTTCGAGATTTTTTTTGGGGGGTATTAGGGCGATGGGATTAGTAAAGTAAATGTGAAAAGTGAAAAGACGGGAAAAGGAAGCAGCAATGCAGTGGTGAACCATGAGAACTTCGCAATGTCGCTCAGGTTTTGGGTGCTTCTGCATGTCAAGCCATGTCACTTGCTATGACGCTCGATTCAGAAGGCACGGTTTCTGGGGTCCTGTCAGAAAGTGTTCGGAGAAGCACATCAGAGTGGAAAGCAAGTCCTCTCACCCCCGAATTGTTCGGATCATCCCATTTGTGAATATTTGTGGAGCAACCAGTGAAATTTAATCCCAAAAAAATTTGGGTTGAACCATAAATGGTGGATCCCCCAAGCTCGCTGGATGGTTGATTTATGTTGATTTCATCGAAAAACCTGTGAAAACATGGATGATTTTTTCGGAGTCCATCTGTGAAATCTGTGAAATTGAGCGACCACACCGTCACGTTGGCCGGGCGCGGCAGGCAGCCTTCGGCTCTGGGACATCAAGAGGGGCTGCAAGGTGCCAGAAATTTTCGGGCCATGGGAGCAGGGCTGAACTCTGATCTGCCAGATAGCCAGAATGACCTGCGAGAGCTCGAGACTCAGACATTTCAGGAAACATTTTGGGAGATGTTGGTTATACTATAGGTATGTACTATATATATATACACCATATATATATATACACACACCATATATATATACACCATATATATATATAATATTATATTATATATTTATTATATATATATATTATGTCTAGTTGTCTTTCTTCCAGGTGTCAACATTGTCACCCCATTCCATCCCATGAGTTTATCCAGCCTCATTTTCCGCAGATTTCATCGCAGTGGCAAGGCTCGCCGCAAGAACCCAAAACCACGGAGACAGCGGAAGACAAGGATGGGGGCAATTCATGAACAGTTTGTTGGTTTCAAGTTTTTTCCTATATGTTCAGCATTGTGAAGAGCCGTATTTTGCGTGAATCATGCATTATATATATACATATGTATCTATCTATACTATATGTATATATATATAGTTATATATATAGTACATATATAATTATATGGTACCCCCCCCAAAGATCTACCTTTTTTAAGGTAGATTTGAGAGGGGGTGGACATAACTATAAAACATATATCTATACCATATATCTTGAATCTTGAATCTTGAATCCAGCCCAGTCTCGTTTGCAAACGTTTGCTAACGCTTGTGGCGACAAAGCTGCTCTAAGTACCTAGTCCTTAGATCAACATGCATCACAGACACCGCTTGCAAACGTTTGCAATCGATGGACCCAAAGGCTGCCAAGATATCAATCCAGCATTCTCTACAACACTCTTCAACACATTGTGAAGCTGACTACACACAAACTTCCGTGTGGTAAGAAGCTTCATGTCAAGGCAGGAACCCAGATCATTGATCGAACGTGGAGGTTCATTAAGGATCGCTTGCGCTTAAATCAATTCACAAAGGTGGGCAGCTCCTTACTTTATGCCCAGATCCGGTCTGCTCAGTATGAGTACTGGAACCGCAACCGCGATCTATGGGCCTGCACAGGGCAGCTGGTGTCTGCTTACATGCGCGACATCATCGCCTAATCATCTGCGTCTGGGGAAAAATGCCCTGCTTCACTTCTCTTTCACAAGGCAAATGTTTCTGTCTGTCTGAGATTCTGAATATCCACCAGGGACAAGTAGTGACAACACCTATGTTTCCTTCTGGCTGAAACCGTGTGCAAACTGTCAGCACAGCTAGAAAACCCAAAAAATGGTAGATCTTGGGGGGGGATAGCATATATATATATATATATTGATTGTATATGTCGTTTTGCATGATTGACTTTCATATTCTTCAATTGCTTGGCTCAAGCACCGGTGTTTGGACTTGCCGAGTCGTCGCTTTGTCCCAGACTGTTCTGGTCGCAGGATGGTGAGGGAACCACGCCGAAGCCGGTGATCAAATTGGAGCAGGACAGCTGCATCAAAACCATGTTGAATCGATGTTAATATGACTAGTTATTAACCATTGTTAACCAGTATTCACCATTAACTGGTTGATGATTATATAGTTCCAGGAGATTCTACTAGCCATATTGAGGATTATTGTCCAGTGGAGCCCTTATTGACCAAGCAGTATTTCATGAAACGACATTGCGGGTTTTGAACATTTTGAACGCTGCCCAGAGTTTCGGGTTTAGAATGTGAAAATATGTGAAACCCACCAAACATCACTCATTTCGCACAGATGTTGGATGATTTCGTAGGAAACCCCAACATGACACCGGCGCACAAAACTACCGGGGGTCGCAGATCGCAGATCGCAGGATGAGACACCCAAGCTTCTCCTGTCCACTGCCTCGTCCTTTTGTGCGATTTGCATGTCAGTCCCTTAGGGAATGGGATGGAATGGGATCGGAATGGTTCTAACATAATGGTTCTAACATAATGGTTCTAACATGCTGATATTTTTTTAAAATAGAAATTCCGAAAAAACTTCTGTTCTTGCTGTGTGTGCATTTCTGAAATAGTTTGTTCCGTGTTTTCGTTGTTTTGGTCCTTCAAAAGAGCAGAAAGTGACGGGATCAGCTTTGTGAGACGACGAAGAGAGTGATTGCACTGATGATCACCATCAACATTGCCTTCATTACTTTTGTCACTGTCAGTCTTCATCATCTGACATGAACATACATGAACAAAATCATGATGACGACAATGTCATCATCCTAGGTTAGGTTCTGCCCCATGTATTTGTTGCTTGTCCCTCAATCCATCCCGGCACACAAACATTGCAGAGATTAACATTTGGTTCACTTTGACAATTCACACTGTGGCTTCTTTGGTGATCCAGAGGTTTAGGTTTCACGACATATTTTCATATATGTTCGTTGCAGCAACGTCCACAAGATATTCCAAAACCCAAAAACTAACCCTGATTTTTCCATGGAATATCCGAGAAAATCCCAAATTTCCCCACTTTGTCATACTAAACATCCGCAGGTCCATGGGAGCCGAAGATCCAGCGATTGAGGGCGATCCTGAAGGCCCAGAGGATGGCGCCGATGGAGCGGAGGTGGGACATGTTTTCTTTGGGTCTTCGTGGCTGGCTGTCTGTGAAAACCCCCAGAAATTTATATCCATGTGCAAAAAAAAACGAATCATATCCATTCTAAATCCAATTTACATAGATTTTTATATCCTTTTACAAAGTGGATGTGGGATAATTATATCCATTTGATTCCATTTGCGGGTTTCCTAAGTCATGGGGGTACCCCGGTCGACCATCCAGTTGTCATGAGCATGACGACTGGTATTGAAGCCCATGGTGACGACGAAATGGGACTCCCCATTTCAAGAAATCGCCATTGATATCCGTTCATCTCCAGTTTTTTCATATTGGATTTATCCTGAGCTGCACTGCTTTGTTTCAGGCTTCTCCTGGTGGAGAAGAAGGCCATGGACCGTCGCAAGCGTGTGTTTTTTGACGTCAATGTACATAAACGCTTCACATTTTGCCACTTCTTGAATGCACGTGTTTGGATCACTGGACGACGAACAGTTTCAGCCGCCTTTTTCATCTCATATCATGTTGCCGCTCAGTTGTCTACCAAATTGTGTCTGAAGATCGGTAGATTCTGTCCCAGAATCTACCATCTACCGGGTCGGTCAGGTGCGGTTCTTCTGAATCCAACATTAACCATCATCAACCATCATTAACCATCATTAACCATCATTAACCATCATTAACCATCATTAACCATCATTAACCATCATTAACTTGGTTCCAACAGCGATCAATTCCTCGCACCTTCCGAGTCCAACAGCGACTCCTTGAGTGGACCAACGACGTCTTCCCAAGCGTTGAAGTCGTTGCGGTGTTCCCTAGCGTCCAACTTTGACATCCCACCCCACCATACCCCACCCACGTATGATGAGAGCAAAATTCACAAGGCTTCCACAGTTGTGAGAACATGTGTCAGATGTGGCACCAAAAACATTGGGGAATCGAAGGTCAAAGGGCCAACTTTGTGGTAGTTCTACTTAGAAGCCCTTTGTTTTTTTTTTGGCGATGCATAGCCTTTCCACATTCGGTCTGTCGATTCTTCAGGTGATGCGGGAGCCCAAGAACAGGACCGATCGTGGCTTGTCTTCTTTGACCAAGGCGAGCCTTTGTTGTAGGGACATTTTTTCTAAGGAACCACTCCTGTTTTTAATGGTAACAACATGCAGCAACCAGCAACATTGGTTCAACATGCGCCAGTTTCTGTGCTCAAGAAGCTCTTCCCAACACTGGCACCAAAGGCGCAGAACCAAACCTTCACTTTTCGAAAACGGATCTGAGAAATTTTGCGAATCTGCGCAGGGGGATCTGACAAAGGCGTTTGAGGCTTTGTCCAAAGCCCTTGGCTCAGATGACATCAGAGGAACAATCTTGGCCAGACATCATGA